ACACCTCACCAGACACATGGGAACCATGGCTCCACCCATGCGTCTGTCCCCTCAGCTGCCCAGCACATTCCTTGTCTGCCTCCAGGATGCTGCCATTTCAGGACTATCATCATCAGGTCTAAACAGCTATCTCATAAGCAGGGACAGGCCTGATTTGTGGGGCCTGAAGACTTTGCATTTTGGGGAGCCCTTAGTAAGAAAACAGTGGGAATGTGGGCAGTGTGTAGGCCAGAGGACAACCTCAGGTGTCCTCTAGGGACACTATCCACCTTGTTTTTGCCACAGGGTCTTTCACTGGCCCGGAACTTGCCCATTAGGCCAGGTTCACTGGCCAGTGTGGGCTGCAGAGATCCAGACTCCACCTCCCCAGGCCTAGATTGCAAATGTGCCACCCCTGACCTTTCTTATGTGGGTCCTGGGGTTAGAACTCAGGTCCTTGTGCTTGTAAGGCAAGTGCTTTACTGACTGAGCCGTTTCCTTGACCCTAAGGGAACATTTAAAAACATTTACCAAAGTGAGTATTTAGGAATAGCAAGTTCCTGGAGCCACTGTGTGCCTCTCGGGCAGTTGACTGGGGATGTGGTGCTGGAAAGCTGTCTGGATGGCAGCCTGGCCTCATCTACCTGGATTTCTACCAGCAAGCTTCTAGCAAACTGGGTCCCAGAGTGAGTCAGGTTGTGGGAGAAACCAGGCACTGGGGACGGGCCCTGTAGGCCACTGTGATGTAGGCTCCTCTGGGGACCACCACTCCAGGCCCTGGCTGCCCAGTGTGGCCCTGGACTTGAGCTACATTTCCCTCTGGAAACAGCATCTTGAGCCCCTTCTGGGTTGTACCTAGTGGGACCCACGAGATCCTCGTTCCTTACTGCCCAGGTGCAAGTGCGCAGCCCATGTGAGGCAGCTGTCATGGTGCCGTGAACACTGTGAGGTCGAGAACAGCCGCTGTTCATCCGCTCGCTTCTGAGGGTGAGGTGTTGACAGGGCTGTCCCCACAGGCTCTGGAGGATGCTTCTCTGCCTCTTCCAGCCTGTGGTGGGACTCAGGCTACCTATCCTGGGTGTTCTGGGCTGTGGGCCCATTAGTCATGGCCCTCCCTGTGTAGTGTCTGAACCCCCTTCCTTGAGTTAGGACCTACCCCACTCACTTGGGAGGACCTCATCTCAGTTACATCCACAGACCTGCTTCAGATTAAGTCCCTTGGCTCTAGGTGGACATGGATTCTGGGGACAATAGTTAGTCCGGGAGAGGCCTGAAACAAAAAGGCACATAGAACGGAGGTGAGGAGAGCAAAGTCAGAAGGCCTTCTTGCCCTTCCACACGTTACCCAGCAGGCACACAGGAAGCCTGCCAAGACTCACTCTCCTGGAGGGGGAGGGCTAAGGACTGCCCTATCAGCTCCCAGCTGTGTGAAAGGAAGGGACCTTGGCTAATAAGAGCTTGGCTGAGGAACACAGCTCCATAAGAAAATGTCAAGAGGAAGATCTCGCTGTCTGCATCCCTTTCAAGGGCAGGATATAGGGAGACAGGGCTGGGATCAGGGACTGAGTCTTCCATAGTACAGGTTGGCTTTGAACTCACTCAGTAGCCCAGGGTAGAACTGAACTTCTGATCCTCCTGCCTTTATTCTCTACTGGGGTTACAGGCATGTGTGTCTGATTCATGCAGTGCTGTGGGTCAAACCCAGGGCTTGCATGCTTGAGACACGGTGTTTCTAGCTTTGGAGCCTGTCTTGGAACTCGCTCCATAGACCAGGCTGGCCTCGAACTCACAGAGATCCACCTGCTACTGTCTCCCGAGTGCTGGAGTTAAAGGCGTGCGCCACCACTGCCCGGCCCCTACATAATCTAAGACATTCCCGGAGGGGAGGAGGTGCCACTTGCCTGAAGCCCCTTCCACAGGGAAGGGACTTAGTCCAGGGTGGTAAAAAGAGGGAAGGGACCCAACAGAAGTCGGTGATGCCCAGGGGAGGTGCCAGCCCCTAGCCAGGAGGGCCATGTTTCAAGAATAAAGTGAATAAATTCAGCCCCAAGTGGTACTGGAGTGGTTTTCTGTTCCTTTTGACATGAAGAGTCACATGCAGAGTACAGTGTAGCCTGGTGGGCATAGACCATGAGCCCATATGTAGGCCCAGCCTTGGAGCAGGTCCTTTAAACCAGCATGAGACAGCCTCACCACCTACAAACAGGGAGGTGGGTGTGGCTGCAAACACCTGAAGTTTACTTGGGAGGTGGAGGGAGGAGGAGCAAGAATTCCAAGTCATCCTCAATTGTACAGTGACTTTGAGGGCAGCCTGGGCCACGAGATCTGTCTCAAAACAACGACAAATGGCTGCTGGAGAGACAGATGACTCCCTGAGCACCTGAATTTGCAGAGGACCTGAATTTGGTTCCCAGAATCTACCTAGAGTGGCTCACAACTGCCTGTAATTCCAGCTACAGGGGCTCCAACTTCCTTTCCTGGCCTCTGTGGGCTCCTGTACTCACATGAACACACAGACATGCAAACATACACATAATTATAATTTTTTTTTAAAAAAGTGCTTTTCTGCCTGGTGGCAGCCCTCAGGTGATTAAAGGTAGGTACATATAAGTACAGACTATAAAGCAGCAATTCTCAACCTGTAGGTTGCAACCCCTTTGAGGATCTTATGGCTTTCACAAGGGTCACAAATATCCTGAATATCAGATAGTTACATTATGATTCATAACACTAGCAAAATTAGTTATGAAGTAGCAACAAAAATAATTTTATGCTTGGGGGTCACCACAACATGAGGAACTGTATTAAGGGTGGCAGCATTAGGAAGGGTGAGAACCACTGCTCTAGAGGAAGAAGAGGTCTGACAGGAAGCACTTTCCTCAGGGGTTGCTGCTAACTCTGCTACACAGGGCTCCCCACCCCACCTAGCCAGGTAAAGCAAACAGGCTGCTTTACGAGGCTAGGCAAAATTTCATCCGATGCAGGACTTCATGTTCACAGGGGAGGCTGCAGACACCCAGTTCCTTAGAGGCAGGCCCGACCATCATGGTGTTAACCGGCTGGATTGCCTACCCTTCAGTCTTGTTGAGAGAGCTGGACTCTACTGCGGAGCTTTGAGGCCTGAATTCTTACTGGGTGGAAGGATTCATGTACAAATTCTTGAGGTTCTCCTCAATGACCCACTCCATAAATTAATTACCAGAACAAACCCCAACACCCAGCCAAACCAGTTCATCAGCGCTGGGAGATGCGTGGGCTGCCATCTGCTGGCCACAAAGAGTTGTGGTCTCTGTAAGGGCTACAACATTCTAACAGTAACACCAGTGGGAGAAAGCGCATAACTATTCAGCTCCATTACCGATGATGTAAGTAATGTTTCTAAAATTTATGCCAATAAATGATTTAGGATAGACGCGCACGCACGCACGCACGCACGCTCGCACACAACAAAAAAAATGGGAGAGTTGACAGGTGTCAGGACACTCTTAGGGCACATGGCTGATCCCAGTACCCATTTACTGAAACCCAAGAAAATGCCTTACCTGTCTTTGAGCCCTTCACAAAGGTAGGTGATTGAGGCCTGTGCCCACCTGTCAAAGTCCTGCCTACTTGCCTTAGTCTCTTAAGGCCGCTGAGGTGCACCCTCCAGTTTCCCCACCATACCACCCTATAGAGTGCAGTGAAAAGGTGAATCAGGAGAAACTGGGGGAGAAGAAACATTCCACATGGAGGTGGTCAGAACCAGAGGGAGGTCCCCATGTCCATGTGCCC